TATCTCTTCTTTTGAGAAATGTCTTCTGTTCCTTTTTACATTTTTTAATCGTGTGGTTTTGTTTTTTGCTGTTGAGTTGTTTGAGTTCCTCTTAATATTCTGGATATTAGCCCCTTGTGTGATGTGTAATTGGCAGACACTTTCTCCCAATCTGTAGGTTGTCTCTTCACTTTACTGATTTTGTCCCTTGCTGTGCAGAAGCTTTTTAGTTTCATGTAGTCCCATTTATGCATTTTTTCTTTAATTGCCTATGCCTGTGAAGTCTTGCTCAAGAAAGCACTGCCCACGGCCATTTCACGTAGCATTTCCCTTATGTTTTCTTCTAGTAGTTTCATAATTCCAGGTCTTAAATTTAGGTCTTTGATCCATTTTGAGTAGATTTTTGTGTATGGTGAGAGATAGGGATCTAGTTTCAATCTTCTGCATGTGGCTCTCCAGTTTTCCCAGCACCCTTTGTTGAAAAGGCTGTCTTTTCCCCATTGTATATTCTTGGCACCTTTGTTGAAGATTAGTTGACTAGAAGTGCATGGATTTATTTCAGGGCTCTCTATTCAATTGGCCAACTTGTCTGTTTTTATACCAGTACCATGCTGTTTTGGTTACTATAGTTTTATAGAATATTTTGAAATCAGGAAGTGTGATGCCTCCAGCTTTGTTGTTTTTCTTCAAGACTGCTTTAGCTATATGGGGTCTTTTGTGGTTCCATACAAATTTTAAGTTTGTTTTTTCTATTTCTGTGAAGAATGTAGTTGGTATTTTGATAGGGATTACGTTGAATGTGTAGCTTGCTTTGGGTAATATGTACATTTTCATTACATCAATTATAATAACCTGTGAACATGGGATATTTTTCCATTTGTGTCCTCTTCAATTTTTTTCATCAGTGTTTATATTATAGTTTTATTTGCAGAGGTCTTTCACCTCCATTAAATTTACTCCTAGGTGTTTCATTTTTTTTGGTAGCCGTTGTGAATGGAAGGAATTTCTTGATTTCTTCAGCTATTTCATTGTTGGTGTATAGGAAGGCTATTGATTTTTGTGTGTTGATTTTGTATGCTGCCAGTATACCAAATTCATTTATTAGTTCTGGTAATTTTTTGGCAGAGTCTTTAGGGTTTTCTATATATAGGATCAGGTCATCTGCAAATAGGGATAGTTCAACTTCTTCCTTTCCTGTTTGAATGCCCTTTGTTGCTTTCTCTTACCTTATTGCACTGGCTTGAACTTCTCATACTATGTTGAATAAGAGTGGGGAAAGTGGGCATCCTCATCTGGTTCTAGGTCTTAGAGGAAAAGCCTCCCATATTCATGCATTCAGTATGATATTAGCATGGGTTTGTCCTATGTGGCCTTTATTGTGTTGAGGTACATTCCTTCTATACCTAATTTGTTGAGTGTTTTTTTTATCAGGAAGGGGTATTGGATTTTGTCAAATGTTTTCTGTGCATCTGTTGAAATGATCATGATTTTTTTCTTGATTCTGTTGATGTGATGTATCACATTTATAGATTTGCATTACCCTTCCTTGAATCCCTGTGATGAATCCCACATGATCATGGTGCATGATCTTTTTAATGTGACACTGGATTCTGTTTACTAGTATTTTGTTGATATCATATCTTTGTTCATTAGGGATATTGGTGTGTAGTTTTCTTTTTTTCTGCTCTTGCTATGAGGGTAATGCAGGTCTCATAAAATTATTTGGAAAATATTCCCCCATCTCATGTTTTCTGGAAGAGATTTTGTAGAATTGGTGTTATTTCTACGTTGGGTGTTTGATAGAATTCACTCGTTAAAACTATTTGGTCCACCGAGCCTCTGTAGAAAGCTCCCTGATCTCCCGATCTGGGGCAATGGGGGACTGAGGGCTTCAGCCACAGCCCCTGACATCTGCATCTAGCCCAGCAATGACTGAGCCACTGCTGAAAGCCCCCTTGTCTCCCCTGCAGGAATGAGGGGGGTGCCACAGGTCTCAGTCACGCCTCCCCTCCTTTCTCTTTCTTCCACCCTATTTCTTTTCCCCTTCCCCCCTCCCAACCCCCCCAACTGCTATGCGACATCATCTTAGAATGTAAAAAAAAAATTGATAAATAAATAAACTTAAAAAAAAAAACCTATTTGGTCCAAGTGCTGTTATTTAGAACTATGTGTATACAGTAGTCCCCCCTTATCTGTGGGGGATATGTTTCTAAGACCCCCAGTGGATGCCTGAAGCTGCAGGTAGTACTGTCTTATATATACTATGTGTGAATTTCTTTTTCCTACTTCACAATTTCATGAATAGATGATTTGTTCTTACTGTAGATCATAGCAACCTCAGCATATGACTTTTTTTCTTTCCTTAAGTTGAGAACTTCCACCTTTTCACATAAAGGAAGCTCTTTACATCTTATCTTTGGCATATCCAAAGTACCAGCATCACTTCTCTTGCACTCTGGGGCCATTATTAAGTAAGTAAAGGTTACTTGGGTTACTTGAACACAAGCACTATGATACTGAGAAGGTCAATCTGATAACCAGGATGGCTACTAAGTAACTAAAGGACAGTAACACATACAGTATGGACAGCCTAGAAAAAGGGTTGATTCACTTCCTGGGCTGTATGGAGCAGGACAGCACAAGATTTCACCATGCTACTCAGAAGAGCATGCAATTTAAAACTTATGAATAGTCTATTTCAAGAATTTTCCATTTAATATTTTCAGCCTGCAGTTGACTTTGGGTAACTGAAATCACAGAAAACAAAACCATGAATAAGGGGGGACTATTGAGTGTTGTGAGTATGTGTGTTTACCACATACTCAATTTCTTAGATAGATATTGGTGTGTTCAGGTTATCTCTTCTTGAGCAAATGTGGTAGTTTGTTTTTATCCAAGAAATTTGTTTATTTTTTATAATTTGTCAAATTTATGGGCATACAGCTTGGAATGAACTGAATGTTTGTGCCCTTCCACCAGATTTTTATGTTGAAACCCTAATCCCATTGTGATATATTCAGAGGTGGGGCCATTAGGAGGTAATTGGGTACTGTGAGTGGAGCCCTCATGAAAGAAGAGATCAGAATGCCCTTATAGGAAGAGGCTGGAAGGCTAGCTAGCTGTCTTTTCACCATTTGAGGGCACAACAAAAAGCAGGCAGTCTGTAACCCAGAAGTGGGCCCTCACAAAAATGTGACCATACAAACACCATCATCTCAGAATTCCGACTCCAGAAATGTGAGAAATCAGTGTTTATCGTTTAAGCCACCCAGTTTACTGTAATTTGAGATAGGAGCCCAAACTGATGAAGACAGAGTTTTTGTTAATATTCCTTTATTATCTCTTTAATGTCTGTTGCGTCACTAGTTATGTCTCCTCTTGCATTTCTGATATTGCTAATTTGTGTCTTCTGTTTTCTGTTGGTTTTTATCATTAACAAAATATATATTTTTAAAGAACTAAGCTTTGATATGATCGATTTTATGTGTTTTCTGTTTTTAGTTTCGTTGTGCTTTTCTCTCTAATCTATTATTTTCTTTTTTCTGCTTTCTTTAGATTTAATTTCCTTTCTTTGTCTAGTTTCTTAAAGGGGAAATTTAGGTCATTGACTGGAGATCTTTCTTTTCTAATATAAAGATTTTAAGCCACAAATTTATCTCTGAACACTGCTTTCACTGCATTCCACAAATTTCTATGTGTTTTGGTTTTATTTTTATTCACTTAAAAATACCTCAGTTTTCTGTAAGACTTCCATTTTTACCCAAGGGTTCATTAGAAGTGTATAATATTCAAATATTTCGTATTTCTCTGGATAACTTCGTGTTTACTGATTTCTAGTATAATTTCTCCGTGGCTTGAGATCTTACTTGTAAGATTTCTATTCTTTTGTATTTGTGAAAACTTATAGCCCAAAATGTGATCTGTCTTCATGAATATTTTCTGCGCATTTGAGAAGAACGTGAATTCTGCTGTTGATAAGTGCATTGTGTCCTCCAGGTTTTGGAGGTGTAGTTTTCACAAGAGGGATTTCATTTCTTCTACCTGTAGTGTTGGGCCTATCATGTATTTCTGCCTCTTATTTCTGTGTTTTGTTTTGTTTTTTTACTTTTTTTCTTCCCCTAGCTGCTACAAGTTGTTTCAGTATCCTAAAACAATGGCCAAGGTCAAGAGCTGGATGCCCCTACCAGCCAGCCATCAGAAAAAACCTAAAAATAGATTTGTTGTTTTTGCCCATGCAGATTAAGATGTTTATTTCATAAATTAGATAACAATATGGTTTCAGGTGGAATTTTGGCTGTGACTGCCATTACCATCTTCCAACATATCCCAAGAATGGAGCCTTCTCAGGATTCTCTATGATCTGTCCTATGAACTTCCAAGTTGGCTCATGGAGGGAAATATTACAGATATGTACAGATCCTCTGTCTCTGTAGCAATGGAACATTAGCTCTCTGCTCTGCCTCAGTGGAACCACAGGAGGAGTACTCCTTCTTTGTTTGGCTCAAGAATGATGAATATTGTCAGGGAGGTTTTCTGTTCTGTTAGACCACCTTTTCCTCGAACTTTTGGCTAGAAGAACAGGCTTTTCTTAGAGCTCTGTTTGACTTTGCCTGTTGTCTGGATCGTAGGCTTCCTCAGCACCCAGCCTAGAGTATATGGGAAACAGAAGGAAAAGCATTGGCATTCTGCACTGTGTTATTTCTTAAGTCCTGGGGTCCACTTTCTCTCCATTTTGTAGTCTTTGTATATTTGTTAATGTGTTAATGTCCAGGGATTAATTGTAAGAGGGAGGACTTGGGAAAGGGGCTACTCCATCTTGGCTGGCACTGGAGATAAAACCCGTTTTTTTAAACATGGATGAGGAGAAAGAGAGTGTATGTCTGTCAGTGTGCGTGAATCACTTAACCTATGGAAACCTGATCAGGAACAATCCAATGAAATAAATAACAAAACATGGTTATAAGTTCCTCTCCATGAAAAGTGTAAGATTTATATGATGTTTTTAATTTTTCTCATTTTAGGATATTACAAAGTTGATGTCCACATCAAGGGGAACCAGGACAAACAAGAGACGCCTCTATGGCAAGTAATATTCATCGATGATGAAACATTGAGTAAAGAAGGACAGAAAGTTTTAGAAAAACCCCTTAATCTGGGGCCACCTCCAGATTTTTCAGGAAAAACATCCTGTAAATGTGACTCATGTAGAATGAATTTGCCAATTGTTTCTGAATTAATCATTAGTGAAGGACACTCTTCAGGAAAGAAGGCTGATTGTATGAGTGCACATGAAAAGTTGCATCTTGATATTGAACATGAGAAAACTCATACTGGAGAGAAATTTTATGAATATAATAAAAATGTGAAAGCTCACAGTTATAAGAAAGACCAGCATCAGAAATTTGAAACTTTGGAGCAATCTTTTGATTGTAATCAGTTTGAAAAAGTTTTACATAATGAGATCATCTGTATTAGAGCTGAGAGTTCTCCAGCAGGAGAGGAGTCATGTATAGGTGATGAATTTAGGAAAAACTGTATTAAAACAACTCTTTATAACCACACAGGAACTGACACAAGTGAGAAATACTCAGATCTTAATGAATGTGGGAAATCCTGTGATAAAACCACCATTGTGGAATATAATAAGGTTCACATGGCCATGACACACTATGAATGTAATGAAAGTGGGGTTAATTTCAGTAGGAAGTCACGCCTCACTCAACCTCAAAGAAGTGTTATAGAACTGAGTGCTTTTGAAAACAATAAATGTGAGGAAATCTTGAGCCAGAGTTCAGCCCATGTAATACATCAGAAAACAGAAACTGAAGATAAATTCTGTGAACTTAATGGATGTACACATGCCTTTTATCAGAGGTTAGACCGTCAGAGAACTCACCCCAAGGAGAAACTCTACCAGTCTGGTGCATGTGGGAAATGCAGGAAATCCTTTTACCAGAAAGCACACCTCATTCAGCATCAGAAGACCCACTCAGGGGAGAAACCTGAGGAATGTGGGAAATCCTTTTGTTCAAATTCACACCCTGTTCAGCATCATGAAACTCATGTGGGCATCAAACTCTATGAATGTAATGAATGTGGAAATGCCTTCTGTCAGAAGTCAAACCTCAGTGAACATCTGAGGATTCACACAAAGGAGAAACCTTATGATAACAATGGCTGTGGGAAATCTTATGAGTCACTGCTCACAGGACACCAAAGAACAGACTCAGAGATGAAACTCTATCAAGGTAGTGAAAATGGGAAAACATTCTCCAAGACAGCTCATCTCAAAGAACATCAGAGAATTTACACAGAAGAGAAACTCTATGAATGTACTGAATGTGGGAAAACTTTTTCCAAGACATCGCATCTCAGAGCACATCAGAGAATTCACACTGGCAAAAAACCTTATGAATGTATTGAATGTGGGAAAACTTTCTCGAAGACATCACATCTTAGAGCACATCAGAGAATTCATACTGGAGAAAAACCTTATAAATGTATAGAATGTGGGAAAACTTTTTCTCACAAGACGCACCTCAATGCACATCACAGAATTCATACAGGGGAGAAGCCCTATGAATGTAATGAATGTGGGAAAGCTTTTACCCATATTTCTGTTCTCAGAGCACATCAAAGAATTCACACGGGCGAGAAACCCTATGACTGTAATGAATGTGGGAGGTCTTTTGCCCATATTTCTGTGCTCAGAGCACATCAAAGAATCCACACAGGGGAGAAACCCTATGACTGTAATGAATGTGGGAGGTCTTTTGCCCATATTTCTGTGCTCAGAGCACATCAAAGAATCCACACAGGGGAGAAACCCTATGAATGTAATGAATGTGGGAGATCTTTTACCTATAATTCAGCCCTCAGAGCACATCAGAGGATTCACACAGGGGAGAAACCCTACGAATGTAATGACTGTGACAAAACTTTTGCCCATAATTCAGCCCTTAGAGTACATCAGAGAATTCACACAGGAGAGAAACCCTATGAATGTAATGACTGTGACAAAACTTTTGCCCATAATTCAGCCCTCAGAGCGCATCAGAAAATTCACACAGGGGAGAAACTCTATGACTGTAATGAATGTGGTAAAACTTTTTCTCAGAAGACACACCTCAGTACACATCAGAGAATTCACACAGGTGAGAAACCCTATGAATGTAGTGAATGTGGAAAAACTTTCTCTCAGAAATCATACCTCAGTGGACATGAAAGAATTCACACAGGCGAAAAACCCTATGAGTGTAACATATGTGGGAAATCTTTTGTCTATAAGGCAGCCCTCTTAGTGCATCAGAGAATTCACACAGGAGAGAAACCGTATGAGTGTAATGAATGTGGGAAAACTTTCTCCCAAAAAACACACCTCTGTGCACATCAGAGAATTCACACAGGGGAAAAGCCCTATGAATGCAGTGAGTGTGGGAAAACTTTTGCTGATAATTCAGCCCTCAGGGCACATCACAGAATTCACACAGGGGAGAAACCCTATGAATGTAATGAATGTGGGAAAACTTTCTCCAAAACATCACATCTCCAAGCACATCTGAGAACTCGCACAGGAGAGAAACCGTATGAGTGCAGTGAATGTGGGAAAATGTTCTCTGAGAAGTCATATGTCAGTGCACATCAGAGAGTTCACACGGGGGAGAAACCCTATGCATGTGATATATGTGGGAAACCATTTGCCCATAATTCAACCCTCAGAGTGCATCAGAGAATTCACACAGGTGTGAAATCCTATGCATGTAACGAATGTGGGAAAAGTTTCTCCCAGAAGTCACATCTTAGTGCACACCAAAGAACTCATACAGGGGAGAAACCCTATGAGTGTAATGAATGTGGGAAAGCTTTTGCCCAAAATTCAACTCTCAGAGTACATCAGAGAATTCACACAGGGGAAAAACCCTATGAGTGTGATGCATGTGGGAAAACTTTTGTCCGTAAGGCAGCTCTTAGAGTACATCACACCAGAATGCACACCAGAGAGAAAACCTAACATGAAATAAACTTGGGAAGTCCTGAAGGAACTCAAACCTTAGATAACACACAGTGGGGAAACATGTCACATAAACTGGCTAATTGTTTCCCTTATACATTTCCATTTACACTAGGCACATAGCTTGTCAAAATTTCTCAGTTTGAAAAGGCAGTGGTATAGTGGTGAGCATAGCTGCCTTCCAAAATTTCTCAATTTGTTACTCATATGGGGGGCTGGCCATGGAATGTGATGCTAATGATAGCTATTACATTTAAGCCTGGCACTTAAGCAAATCACCTTACATTCTTCCTGGTCCATGTTAAGGTGGAATGAAGATGATTTCCACAGCAAACTTGGGCCCTGTGCACTGAACATGGTACAGCACAAAGTGAAAGAAGCTAGAATCTGAACAGTTGTGTGGAACAGTACTCTCCACGTCCAGACCTTCCCCCATTGGCTCCTTTTTAGAAAAGCAATAGTTAAGTTTGTATTCTGTTGGGTTCTTCCAGGTTTGGTCTGTTAAGTGGTATGAATTCCTATCAATATAAACGTCAGAAGACCTATAAGAATTCAACTTTTTGTATGTCAGAGACTACATATAAGAAAGAAAAGTTCTGTCAACATCATGACTAATCCTTTATTAAAAATCTGAAAAATCTCAGGGAAAAACACAAAAGCCTTTACCATAAAGTGAATTGAATTAAACATCAAGTAGACTAAAATTTTATGTTTTGAATAAATGACATTTTTCAACAAATACTGAAAGTTTAGTTTCAGGTAATTTATTCTGAGGATATGTATCAGTTTCAGGATTGAGGATAAAACCTTCACCTAGAAGTGATGTACCAAAACTTGTGTTTTTATGTAATATCAAAAGTTTTTATAGAAAATATGTAAGAAAACAGTTACCTATAGATAAAGCCACTATAAGATGTGAAGTTTTAAAACTGGAGGAATAACTTGAATTCTGTAGACAACACCAATAAATGTTTGTGAATAGTCTCTGAGCTGTGTAGAACATCTGTATGAGTATATATTAATAGATGATTGATTATTACTGGTGAGTTCTAGTAGGATCCAGCAGCCAAGCCTGCTCTGGACATGTCCACTTACCTTTTCTGAGTGTCAGTCTCTGTTCTGTTGGCTTCCCTCTTGATGCTGTTAGATTTTAGCCTGTCTTCTGTGTCTAAGTATTAGTCATGCTCTGTTTTTCTAGGACCTTGAAGATCCATGACATTTCCCAAGCATACTTGTGTGTATATATCTCTGTGTGTGTGTGTGTGTGTGTGTAATGGCGCTGCTGATTCTTACATACTTCGGGGTGGGGGGCTTCATTTTATCCCACTCTAGTGGTTTGTTCTGCACTGTGTGAGTATAAAACAAGTCACCTCCTCAGCCTCCTTGCATACATACAGCTTGAGCAACCTGTATAGGTTCTTTTTTCAACATCATGATACCTGCTCATACTGCAACATTGCAAACCAGTGGTATTTCTACCCACCTAAGACAGCAGGTTTGGGAATTAGAATGAAAAGGGGTACTCTATGCCAGAAGCTCAGCTCTGGTACTGAAAAGCAGACACACTTTTGGGAAAACAATGTAGTGTGGTAGAATTTTAGCCAATAAAACATTTGCTTGATCTGCCATCATTTCAGCCTACACGGTGTGGTCAACACAGAGAAGAAAGTAAACAAAATCATATTTAAAACCTGGACCACTAAAACTTTCTCTCAACCCTGGGCATGTTGCTTTTTGCAAGTTTGATCTGGCAGATGGAGCATGAGGGCAGTAAATCAGTTGACGCCCTGAGAATTTTTCCTAATCCCTACCCCTTGTTTATGTCATGTGGTGTGTGAAGGGAGAGTGTGGGGGAAATGGTGGTGGCATATCTTTAGCATTAACTGGAGAATAGGTCCTCCTTTGACACTGGGTAGTTAATCAGTTTGGTGGCATCACTGTGAAAAACAAGAGCCAGGAATAAGCGCCCACTATTGGATGGGGGTGTACCATCACACACCAGGGCTGGCTGGCACAGTGGACCCTCAGCTGTCACTCTGGCAGAAAGGTGGCAGCAGCTGGGGGAGTCTGTGTCCCCTCTTCAGTCTCCACTGCCTTGAGGCAACTGAAGCTTATTGTCCAGTGCCCAAGGGAGTGAGAGCCAAAGAGCACCTCACCCCCAGGCTTGGCTTTTCAGAAAAGTGTAGATGAGAGGAAATTGATCTGCAGTACTTTTTAAAAAAAATTACTATAGAATAAGTTTATGAAAAAATTACAATCACAGTTTTTATGTACTCCTCACCCACTTCCCTACTAATGTATCATTGTGGTACATTTGTCATAACTAACATTGACACATTATTAACTAAACACATTTTTTTTTTTTCGAATTTCACTAGCTTCTCCCTAATGTCCTCTTTTACTCTGTGATCCCACCCAGGATACCATATTGCCTTTGATTGTTATGTCTCCTTAGCCTCCACTGTTTTGTGACAATTTTCTGACCTTCCATGTTTTGATTACCTTGACAAGTTTAAGGAGTACAGGTTTTTGTAGAATATCCCTCAACTTGGGTTTGTTTGATATATACATATATATACATACGTTTGTGTTTGTGTGTATATGTCTATATGTATGCATATGTATTTATATCCACACACACATATGTATATGGTTGCACTGGTATTAATAGGTTTTTGGTAGGAAGACCACAGAGGTAGATTCTGTTCTCATCAGATCAGGAGTACATGCTGTCAACATGAGTGATCACTGATGCTAACCTTGATCACCTGGTTGAGGTTGTGTTTGCCAGGGTTTTCTACTGTAAAGTTACTTTTCCCTGCACTTTTGAACAGTTTTGTTCATACAACAAGCTGCTCATTTACAAAAGGAAGGTTATACAAGCAGTTGCCGGTTTACAAATGGATTGTATCATGGCACTAATTCGTTGGCTATTTGGAAATTTTCTATTTTCCCCAGAAATGGTATTGGAAATAGTGGCTAAGCTTGTGAAAGCCTATTTTGCCCATTATGTTCCTTATTGTTAGTACTAGGCTAGTGATAATCAGTCCTAAACCAGTGCCTTCATCATCTCTCCCTTTTTTATTCATTCGCTTCCAAAAGTAGCCTGTCAACATGCTTTTCTGCAACTGCTAATGGCCTTAGATTTTAACTTGAACTTGCCAACCAGAAAACTTACCCCTGCCTTAGCTATCAGTTTAAAAGGGACCACAGCAACACGATGCTTGCTACTTGCTATAGATTCCCTTTATAAATTAGTAGTCTATCAAATTGCTCATTAAATAAGATCATAATTCCTTTCACATTTCTGACTTTAATGTTGACAACAATACTAACACAGATAGGTTAAAAATCATAATACCTAGAATTTAGAAATAACCTCAAGCTGATTCAAGTTCCAAATCCATATTATTTTTGGTTTTTGCATTCGTTGTAATATGAATGAGTCATTGTCTTGTCTTTGCTGCCCATGACTTATTTTATCTAGAGGATTTTATTTATCTGCACATCTCTTCGCAAGAGTGGTGCCCAATTCTGTACCTCTTAATCTCTGGAGTAGTGTCCTTTGGACTTTGAGAAAACACTAGAAGAAAGTTTGTCTGCATTTCATGAACGAATCAACCCAGGGTATTAGATAACTCAAATAATAATAGGAAATATAAAGAATAATTATCCATATTAATTACAAAATGTATGATGCTAGGAAAAATTGAAAGCAAGATGGAAAATGCCGGTATAAGGGTTTTTTAAAGTACTGAAAATTTGTATGGTACTAATAATAAGAGCAGATTTACAAGGAATGGGAATGTTCACATTAGAAAATTAAATTTAGACATTGTATTAGTCTGTTTCTGTTGCTTATCAGCACCGCACTCTACCGAGTGAGCCACGGGCCGGCCCAACTGTTTCTGTTGCTTATAACAAAGCACACTGAACTGGGTGATTTATAAAGAACATGAAATTTATTGCTTACAGTTCCTGAGGCTGGGAAGTCCAATGTTCATCTGGTGGTGGTGACAGTGACCCAGGGGGTCTCACATTGCAAGATGGTGGAAGCAGAGAGATCAGAGAGGGAGAAAGACAGACTCTCTTCTTTTAAAGCGCTCAGAACCATACCCCTGACCACCATTTTTAATCCATTCACTACTGCACAGTCCTACAGTCCAATCACCTCTTCAAGGCTCCACCTTTCAATTACCCTAACGGGATTTCCCACCTTCTTAACAGTCACAGTAGGGAGAGTACAATTCAAGTTTCAGGGAGTTGTGTGCAGACATAATTCAATCCACTACAGTAGCCATTGCTTTGATTGTGCTTTGTCTACAGGATCATACTGGTAGAGCCATGATTCATTTCCTACTACAGTTCTTCAAAGAAATGCTTCGGTATCTTAATCCCCCTTGTTTAAAATTTTCACCAAGTGCTCTGTTCTTGTCTGCAGCTGCTCTGGGTGCAACAGTTTGGGGCTCCATCAAGTGGAAAGCTTGCTCAACTTTAATTTTTAGAATTGTGTCAGCTGAACCAACTGAGATATCTATTGTGTTGGCTATTTTTCCTGCTGTCCTCATCATTTAGGGCACAACAAAATTAATTTTTTTTCTTGCAAATTGATGTCGATGGTCTGCCACTGGGTCATCAACATTGTCTTGTGCCTTCTTAGAACCTATCCTTTTTTTTTTTTCCTTTTTGTCTTTTTTACTGACCGGTAACGGGATCGCAACCCTCAGTGTCACGCCCGTACCGGGGACCGGCAACGGGATCGCAACCCCTGGTGTCGCGCCTGCACCGCGCTCAGCCAGTGAGCGGGAACCAGTCTCCACATGGGATCCGAACCCTCAGCAGGAGTGCCGCCGCACTCCCAAGCGGCGCACTATCCAGTGCGCCACCAGGCCGGCCCAGAACCTATCCTTCTTAAAACGAGTTATACATTTGTAAATTGTTGATTGGGATCGCAACCCTCGGTGTTGCGCCCGCACCGCGCTCAGCCAGTGAGCGGGAACCAGTCTCCACATGGGATCCGAACCCTCAGCAGGAGTGCCGCCGCACTCCCAAGCGGCGCACTATCCAGTGCGCCACCAGGCCGGCCCAGAACCTATCCTTCTTAAAACGAGTTATACATTTGTAAATTGTTGATTTCTTTGGGGTATTGTCCCCATAATCTTTTTGTAAAGCATCAACAATTTCACCATTCTTCTATCAAAGCTACAAAATAAATTTGATGTTTGTTCTTGCCTCAATTTTAGCAGAACTTATGTTGCTCTTATCTTTTCAAACTTATCCTTCTTAGTGCCTCAAACTAGTTCCTGTTCAGACATTTTATAACTAGTCACTACGTGTTTATTTTGGTGCCAAAAAAAAAAAGAAAACGCATAGTTTTTTTTGATAATATGCATTTTCCATTGACTTTTTGAAGACCTCTTATATTTTCTACAGTAAAATGTTTCCTATGTAATAATAAATGACAAAAGCTTAGAAAGTTTGTGGATTGTGTTCCTCAAATCTTTAATTACATAAATTAATATCTACATAATATACATTAATAAATTTTTATTTCTTCTATTTAAAATGTTTTGCTATACTCTGAATATTAAATCCAGACATCAAATGACGTTAAAGTAAATCTTTTAAATTAAATTTCAAAGGAAGCACTTTTAATACTCAAAAAGACATCATAATCCATAACGCAGAGCGTGTGGAATACAAGCAGTTTCCAATGTTCTAAACCACTTTTCTCCTTCTTAATAACCAGATTTTTCTGTAGATATTTCATTTCTGTTTGTTTTGGAAAAGACTTGGGGGAAAGGAAGAATCCCTGCATGGAGGAGACAGGAAAGGACACATTACAAAATGCCACTCAGTCTCGGGAGACCACCCAGTCAGCCCCCCTCCTACGGGGTGGGCCTCGACCACAGCATCACGTGTTTGGGGGCTGCCTTTCCCTACCAGATTCTTCTAAGGCCAGCTGCATCCCACCTCGAAACTGG